GGCCTCCCAGGAGCCCACGAAAAGGGCGACAATGGCGCAGATCGCAGCCCCCCCGTGCGCCGCGAGGTCCCGAGGTGAGCCGCGTTGGGCGTACCTCCGCTGGGCCTCCCAAAAGCCCACGAAAGTGGCGACAATGGCGCAGATCGCAGCCCCCCAGGGCGCCGCGAGGTCCCGAGGTGATCCGCGTTGGGCGTACCTCCGCTGGGCATCCAAGGAGGCCACGAACGTGGCGACAATTGCGCAGATCGCAACCCCCCAGGGCGCCGTTGGGCGTACCTCCGCTGGGCCTCCCAGGAGCCCACGAACGTGGCGACAATGGCGCAGATCGCAGCCCCCCAGGGCGCCGCGAGGTCCCGAGGTGATCCGCGTTGGTCGTACCTCCGCTGGGTCCCCCAGGAGGCCACGAACGTGGCGTCAATTGCGCAGATCGCAGCCCCCCAAGGCGCCGCGAGGTCCCAAGGTGATCCGCGTTGGGCGTACCTCCGCTGGGCCTCCCAGGAGCCCACGAAAGTGGCGACAATGGCGCAGATCGCAGCCCCCCAGGGCGCCGCGAGGTCCCGAGGTGATCTGCGTTGGGCGTACCTCCGCTGGGCCTCCCAGGAGCCCACGAAAATGGCGACCATGCGCAGGATCGCAAACCCCCAAGGCGCCGGCGAGGCCCGAGGTCGATCCGCGTTGAGAGCGTACCTCCGTCTGGGGCCTCCCAGGATCTCCAGGAGCAACGAAATTGGCAACATTTACGCAGACGCAGCCCCCCCGGCGCCGCGAGGGTCCCGAGGTGAGCCGGTTGGGCGTACCCTCCGCTGGGTGCCTCCAGGGAGCCCACGAAAGTGGCGACAATGGCGCAGACGCAACCCCCAAGTGCGCCAGCGATCCCGAGGTGATCAGCGTTGGGCGCGGCCTCCCAGGAAGCCACGAAAGTGGCGACAATTGCGCAGATCGCAGCCCCCTAGGGCGACGCAGTCTTGGGCGTACCTCAGCGGCCTCCCAGGAGCCCACGCGAAAATGCCGAAAGAGCGCAGATCGCAGCCCCAAGAGGCGCCGCGAAGGTCCCGAGGTATCGCGTTCGTGCGTACCTCCGCTGGGCCTCCAGGAGGAGCCCACGAAAATGGCGACAATGGCGCAGATCGCAGCCCACCAGGGCGCCGCGAGGTCCCGAGGTGATCCGCGTTGGGCGTACCTCCGCTGGGCCTCCCAGGAGCCCACGAAAGTGGCGACAATGGCGCAGATCGCAGCCCCCCCGTGCGCCGCGAAGTCCCGAGGTGAGCCGCGTTGGGCGTACCTCCGCTGGGCCTCCCAGGAGCCCGCCAAAGTGGCGACATTTGCGCAGATCGCAGCGCCGCGAGGTCCCGAGGTGATCCGCGTTGGGCGTACCTCCGCTGGGCCTCCCGGGAGCTCACGAAAGAGGCGACAATGGCGCAGATCGCAGCCCCCCAGAGCGCCGCGAGGTCCCGAGGTGATCCGCGTTGGACGCACCTCCGCTGGGCCTCCCAGGAGCCCACGAAAGTGGCGACAATTGCACAGATCGCAGCCCACCAAGGCGCCGCGAGGTCCCAAGGTGATCCGCGGGACGTACCTCCGCTGGGCCTCCCAGGAGCACACGAAAGTGGCGACAATGGTTTTTTGTGTGGACGCAGATCGGCGGCCGCGCGAGGTCCCGAGGTGATCCGCGTTGGACGTACCTCCGCTGGGCCTCCCAGGAGCCCACGAAAGTGGCGACAATGCCGCAGATCGCAACCCCCCAGGGCGCCGCGAGGTACGAGGCTTTGCACGTGGTCGGTTCTCGCTGGGTATGGGTACCTCTCCGGATTCTCTGACCAATGACGCAGATCGCAACCCCACAGGGCGAAGCGGAGTCCCGAGGTGATCCGCGTTGTGCGTACCTCCGCTGGGCCTCCCAGGAGCCAACGAAAGTGGCAACATTTACGCAGATCGCAGCCCCCCAGGCGCCGCGAGGTCCCGAGGTGAGCCGCGTTGGGCGTACCTCCGCTGGGCCTCCCAGGAGCCCACGAAAGTGGCGACAATGGCGCAGATCGCAGCCCCCCAGGGCGCCGCGAGGTGCCGAGGTGATCTGCGTTGGGCGTACCTCCGCTGGGCCTCCCAGGAGCCCACGAAAATGGCGACAATGGCGCAGATCGCAGCCCGACGGCACGAGAGAAGAGGAGAGGGGAACACAGGAAACATGAGAGGAGGAAGGGAGGAGGGGGGAGGAGGAGGAGGCCGGGGCGACCACACTGCTCTATTCAAAACGAGTACCCAACCATAGGAGGGTTGGGAAAAACATCTTCCCCTTCGGGGAGGGGTTCATCACTATTCCCTATTAACGTACACCCCCTCCCCTAGGCGACTGGGAGCCAACCCGAGTCAATGAGGGCCCCCCCCCCACCATCCATTGTAAACAAACAGGACAAAACACACTCTGCCTCCAAATTCGGAGCACGCGCAGCGAACCCGATGCGGCCTCCCCCCACCACCCGTCAAAAAATTACTCACTGCGTGGAGCTCCCCATATGTGCATCCTTTTGTAAAGGTAATATTGTATATGGGTCTACAGGAACACACGTAAAACACCAAGGACTCGTGCCCCAGGAGAGGCCCAATATATAGGAACAACAGTAAAACAAGTAGGACTGCTTACACAGGAGAAGGACAATATATAGAAACATACGTAGAACATCAAAGAATCGTGCTCCAGGTGAGGCCCAATCGATAGGAGCATACGTAAAACACATGGGATTGGAGCCACTGCTGTTGCCTTCTGAGGCCTCCTGCTCCTGGGGCCTCTCGGGGCCTCCTGTTGCCTTCCGAGGCCTCCTGGCACTTCCTGTTGCCTCCTGGGGCCACCTGTGGTTTCCGGAGGCCTTCTGGAGCTTCATGGGGCCTCCTGGAGCCTCTTGGGACATCCTGTGGCCTCTTGAATCTTTCTGTGGCCTCCTGATGCCTCCTGGGACCTCATGTGGTCTCCTGGGGCCTCCTGGACTGTTGGAGACTCCTGCTGGCATCCTTGAGAAGAAATCTGCGCCCACGAAAAAAAAGGCCTGGCCCAACAAAACAGGCAAACGATGAGACATCCTCAAAATCTGGCCCACTGGGGGGCGAAAAATGAGCGCCTCTGGCTTCGATGACAGCCTCCAAATATGCTCCGGAAAGGTAGGATTGTTGAGCCCAGAAAAGAAAAACCGCTAGACATCCACAAAATGGCCGCGGAACGGAGCCCGTGCCAAAACACCCCTGGCGGCTCTCCTTTATGTGTGCCACGAGCCTGGCCACCAAAACAAGCAAACCGATCGAGACATCATCAAAATCTGGCCCACCTGGGGGGTGAAAATGAGCGCCTCGCTCGAGACATCCTCCAAATCTGCTCCGAAAGCGAAGGACGTTGAGCCCAGAAACAAGCAAACCGCCTGAGACATCTCCACAAAATGGCCGCGAACGAGCCCGTGCAAACACCCCTGGCGGCTCCCCTTAGGGCCACGAGCCTGGCCACCAAAACAAGCAAACCGATCGAGACATCCTCAAAATCTGGCCCACCTGGAGGGTGAAAATGAGCGCCTCGCTCGAGACATCTTCCAAATCTGCTCCGAAAGCGAAGGATGTTGAGCCCAGAAACAAGCAAACCGCCTGAGACATCCCCACAAAATGGCCGCGAACGAGCCCGTGCAAACACACCTGGCGGCTCCCCTTAGGGGTGCTGAAACCAGCGCCCCGCCTGAGACATCCTCACAATCTGCTCTCCAAGCGAAGGATGTTGAGCCCAGAAACAAGCAAACCGCCTGAGACATCCCCACAAAATGGCCGCGAACGAGCCCGCGCAAACACCCCTGGCGGCTCCCCTTAGGGGTGCTGAAACCAGCGCCCCGCCTGAGACATCCTCACAATCTGATGTGTGTTGAGTAAGTCTGAATATGAGTAGGTCTGAGTATGAGTATGCCTGAGTATGAGTAAGTCTGTGTATGAGTAAGTCTGTGTATGAGTAAGTCTGGGTATGAGTAGGTCTGTGTATGAGAAAGTTCTGAGTATGAGTAAGTCTGAGTATGAGGAGGGGAGGAGGAAAGAGGAGGAAGGAGGAGGAGTAGGAGGCGTCCAAGTAATAACAAGAACCCCATCTTAGGATATGGGGAACAATACAGAGTACACTTGGCGGCGGCGGCGGCGGCTGCGGCGGGGGCAGCGGCTGCGGCGGCTGCGGCGGTGGCGGCGGCGGCGGCGGCGGCGGCGGTGGCGCCAGCGGCGCGGCAGCGGCGGCGGCAGCGACTGCGGCGGCAGCGGCTGCGGCGGCGGCGATTCGGCAGCGGGGGCGGCGGCGGCGGCGGCGGCGGCGGGCGGCGGCGGCGGCGGCGCGGCTCCCTGCGTTCCCATGACTTGGAGTGGGGCTGTCTTTCGGCCTTCGAGTAAGATTTGCTTTCGTGCTCGTGTTGTGCACGCTTCCCACTGCATTGCGTCTTGGCCTGATGAGCAGTTGTTGTGGTGTCTTGTCTGTGGGTGCTGCGCCAGTGATGCTCTCAGGGAGTTCGCGTCTCCGTGATCTAGTCGCTTATCTGGAGCTGGGTCCCACAACCTAAGACGCAGAAGCAAGGGGCTTGTGCCAGGCAGTAGATCGTGGTGGAAGGAGCGGAGAGAGCGGAGGGAGCGAGGGTTGAGGGGTGAGAGAGCGGCGAGTGCGGCGCCCGCGCCGCGCGGCGCGGCGGCCGTCCTGGACAAGGAGGTCGCCGTCAAGCGCCGCCCTGCTTCTCTCCCCCCGCCCGTGCCCCCGCCACCGCCTCCCCCCTCCTGGTTTGTCGCCACTGGTCATCGTGACCGCTCCTTATATATATATATATGTATATATATATGCTCCTCGTCCTCCTCGTCCTCCTCGTCCTCCTCCTGCTCCTCGTCCTCCCCCTCCTCCTCCTGCTCCCCCTCCTCCTCCTGCTCTCCTTTCACTCCTCCTCCTCCTCCTCGTCCTCGTCCTCATCCTCGTCCTCGTCCTCGTCCTCCTCCTCTTCTTCTTCCTCCTCCTCCTCCTCCTCCTTCTCCCCCTCCTCCTTGGAGCAGCAGCAGCGGCCGCTGCCGCGCGCCCCGCTCAGCTCCGGCCCAGCAGGGCCGCCCCGCACGCCGGGCAGAACTGGAAGGCCGGCTGGGCGGCGGCTCAAAGGCGGAGGAACAGCAAAAGGGCACGGAGCAAGACGACGAGCGGGAACAGCAGCAACGCAAGGAGGAGCGGAGAAGGCGGAGATGGGGCACCGCTCCTCCTCTTCCTCCTCCTCCTCCTCCTCCTCCTCGTCTTCGTCATCCTCTTCCTCCTCCTCCTCTTCCTCCTCCTCCTTCTCCTCCGCTTCCTCCTCCTCCTCCTCCTCCTCCTCCTTCTCCTCCTACCGCTCCTCCTCCTCCTCCTCCTCATTCTCCTCTTCCTCCTCCTCCTTTTCCTCGTCCTCCTCGCTCTCCTCCTCCTCCTCCTCCTCCTCCTTCTCCTCCTCCTCCTCCTCCTCCTCCTCCTCCTCATCCTCTTCATCCTCATCCTCATCTTCATCACCACCACCACCATCAACATCATCAACACCATCACCATCAACATCACCATCATCAGCATCATCAGCGTCCTCGTCGTCGTCATCGTCATCATCATCAGCAGCAGCATCCTTATCAACATCATCATCATCACCACCACCATCATCATCATCAACATCACCACCATCATCATCATCATCATCAGTATCATCAGTATCATCATCATCATCATCATCATCGTCATCATCATCATCGCCATCATCATCGTGATCATCATCATCGCCATCATCAGTATCATCATCCTGATCATCATCATCACCATCATCATAATCATCCTCTGCCTCATCGCCATCATCGCCAACCACCACCACCATCATCATCATCATCATCATCATCAACATCACCATCACCGGCACCAACCACCACCACCACCACCTTCACCATCACCGTCACCATCATCATCATCAACAACAACATCATCATCACCATCACCATCACCATCACCATCACCATCACCACCATCATCATCATCATCATCATCATCATCATCATCATCATCAACGTCATCATCATGACAGCTCCTTTATGCTAGCAGTCAGGGTGTGAGGACGGTGGGTGGCGGAGGACGCCACGGGAACGCAGGACGGGCAGAGAACATTAACTACATGCCAAGGAACAAGATTGAACAAGAAAAAAGACGGGGGTGGGGATGGCTGGATGGCGCGCCTTGAGCACCCGAACGGCGGCGACAATGCGCAAATGAAAACCGTGAAATCACAAATATCATGGCAGTTCCTTTATGCCAGCAGTCAGGGTGTGAGGACAGGCTGCATTGGGTGGCGGAGGACGCCACGGAAACGCAGGACGGACAGAGAACATTAACTACATGCCAAATCTGCAGGCATGCTTGCAAGCTGGTATCGCCGAAAATTAGAGATGGTCTGAGCAGAGGCAGCGATTCTCGCAACGTGCGCGTTGTAATACGTAGCCCCCGCAGTTGCGGATAAGAGTGAGGGGGGGGCGGGGACGTCGGCAGTTGAAGAATCCCGCCGCAAGAACAACATTTTTCAAGTTATACAACGAGCCCGTCGCAGGCGCCGATTTTGTTAAAACAATGTAGGTGGGTCGCAGGTCGGGTCGCACGTGGGTTGCGGGTGGGTCGACGGTGGGTCGCGGGTGGGTTGCGGGCCGGGTCGCGGGTGGGGTTGGACGTTGGTGGGTCGCGGTTGGGTCGCGGGGTGGGTCGCGGGTGGGTCGCGAGGTTGGTCGCGGGCGGGTCGCAAGGGGGGCGACGACAACAACAACAACAACAACAACAACAATCATTTTACCCGAACGCTCAGTGTTCTCCCCAGTGCCAGGGTTTTCTTGCGACACCAGCCAATACCCCCACTTCGTGGGGGGGCCGTTCAAGCTCTACCAAATATCCAAACGACTCTTCGAGACCACCCACACCCAGCTTCCCGCCCTATGACGTTGGGACACTTCACTTCGTGGCGTGCGGACGACCCTGGCTACTACACTGGCGTGGGGTACACACCCACAGAGGTTGATCACATCTGTTACATATGATGTGGTACACGGTACACGTGAGATGGTACGCAGTGCCAAGATAAAAAACCATTGGGTTTTTGATGTTTTTATGTTAAAATCGTTACGAAACCTAAGGTTTTGGAAGGATTTCGTCTTGCGAGCGCGAATGTCCACTTTACCTTAGAAAGGCAAGGGATTCTTGAAATTTGATCAACTAAGAACAAGAATTTTCATTTTCTATTGTTTTTTGCAAGGGAAAACGAGCGTCAACAAAAAACCGGATCCGGGGGTAATCCACTTTTCTGAAGCTTTCGCAGAAAAATGATGAAAATGTAGCTGCGGCCTAGGTTTTGGGCGGGGGGCGTGCACCAGGGGGTCCAACAATAATAATTCTTTAGAAGTAATAGTGTTCAACAACAACAACAAGCATAATCCTCACCACGGATCCGCACTTCAGCCACGCACCCAGGGACAATGAATGACCCTTCGGCCTCCTCAGTCCGATAATCGGGCCATGGCTTTGCAAAACCTGGGCGAACAGACGGCAGCAGCGGCAGTGGCAGAAGACCCGTCAGGCCTCTTGCCGCAGAGGATCATGGGGCTTGCCTGAGTCAGCGCAGACCCCTCGCCGCGAGCCCATGCGCTTCGAGCCTCGCCGAGAAGTAGCATCCAACAACCCCGGAAGGAGGCCAGTGTCCCTTCGGCCTGGCGCACCCCGCATACGCATCGATGTGACGACGAATTCAACGGCGCGACGGCGCGACAGGTGCTTAAAATCGGGCGAAAGCCAGAGCCTGGATGTTTTGGGGTTCTCCACGGACCACGGGACTCCAGAGGCTAAAGAGGCCCCCAAGCAAGGGCAGCAAGAGGCTAAAGAGGCCTGCAATTTTAACGAGGGGTTGGGAGTCAAAAGAAGTGCTCGTCTGATCGCACCGCAGGGGGCCAACGCCATAGCCCATCGCTCGCGCGAGGGTCAAACCTGCCCGGGGCCACGGCATGCTTCTGAGACGATTCTCTGAGCAAGTCAGATCGCACTGTTCGCCGAGCGACAGGTCCCAAACAAGGGCCCAGAAGCCCACGGCGCCAGCAGCACGGGCAAAACCTCCGTGCCCTGAGAACAGCTCGAGCATCACTGGGGCCTTCAGGCTGGCCGCGGCAAAGGAAAGGGCACCTTGAACACGGGGTGGCACAATCTCTCCGCGCGCGCGCCTCCATGCCGCTGGAAGCCGAAGGGAAGCCGATGCAGAGCCTGGGTGAGACGGCTTCCCTTCTCGTAGCGGCGCGCGCTGCTCCATGTCCGCCATCGGCCGCGGCGGCGCATTTCTTCCAGGGCCCGGCAGGGGGCGGCTGAGTCGTGCGACGGCCTGGCACGACGAAGCTGGTAGAGGTGGATCGCCCCGATGCGCCCGAGCCCGAGCGCGGCCACCGCCCGCTTGAACTCCTTCGACACGTCGGCGGCCGAGATGCGGGAGAGAGAGCCGGGCAAGCCAGCAGCCCCTCCCTCGCGAGCCACCGCCGTGGCCCTCCAGCCCTCGCCCCAGCGGCGCGCCAGCATCCAGTCGAGACTTGCTGCCAGGCGCCGATGACGTGGGAGGTCGAGCCGCACGGCGTTGTAAACTCGTTCGTCTTGCAGACCTCGCCCACCTCGGCGGCGCGCCGAGTCAGGCTCCAGAAGCGGTGGGCTGGCCCTCGCGACGCCAGCGGCGGGGCGAGGTCCACCGCCCTCAACCTGTGGATCTCGCCAGGGCGGCCGTAGATCTCGAACGGCAGCCGCGCCGCTGGGGCGGCCACGTAGGACCTCTGCAGCAGCAACCAGTTGAGGATGAGGGAAGCGACTTCGATCGGGAGCGCCTGCCGACTCTTCGGCGGGCCAGGTTCTTCCAGCCCGCTGCCGCCTGCTTCGCCCTCGGGGGATGGAGCTGGCCGCGGCGGCTGAACTCCGACCGCGCCCAGGCGATGGCGGCGATGAGGCGGTTGGCGTAGGTGAGGTGCCTCCCGTCTTTGAACATCGCGTGAAGGCGCCCCACCGCCGCGGTCGCCGCTGGCCTGCGCTTCGCGCCCTGCAAGAGGCCCGTCGCCGCGGCCGCGGCGCCGGGGCCCTCCCAAGGCGCTCGGCGGCCCTGGAAGACCAGGGGGTCCAATCGCGGGGCTGCCGAGGTCGGCGTAGGCTGGGCCGGCGGCGAGCGGCCCCGCACCCCAGAGCGCCCGAGCATGCCTCAGGGCCATACTCGGGTGACGAGGGGCCGCCGATCCTCTCGGTGCCGTCGGAGGCGCGGCTGGAGAGTCCGAACCAAAACAGCGACGCGAAGAAATGAGCGACGGCTCCACTATGCTGTGCATGCCATGCACATCCTAGGTGTAGTGGCTCCCGACCGTGCCGTGCTTGCTGATGGTCGTGTCGCAGATGATGTCGTGCTTGCTACTGCTGTCATGCTTGACTAGAACGTCGTGCTTGTTACTAGCGTCGTGACTGCCACTGATGATGTCGTGCTTGCCGATCATGTCGTGCTTGTCATTGGCGTCGTGCGTGACAACGATGTCGTGCTTCTCGCTGATGTTGTCGTGCTCATATGTGGACACGCGCGCGCGTCACTGACGATGTCGCGCCTGTCACCTGGGGCGCACGTGGTGGCCTTGATGGGCCCGACCTGACGGGCCCCGCGCATGGGCGAGAGCCCGGGCTCTACGACGACCTCCGATGGCGTCGTAGGAGACCCATTTCCCCTTGAGGGCCCATCGGCAACGTTGAACTCCGCGGGGGCCCACCTCGCGCACAGGAAGGACCTGGGCGAAAGAAACAGGGCGGATATGCGCTGCACGATCCGGAGCATCGCGCGGGAGTGAGCTCGCACGCGGGAGGAGGCGGCGACAGCCGCGAGGGAATCTCCGAGGACCAGAACCTTCTTAGAGTGATTGCTCGCATTCCGAAGGCATGGCGAAGATGATAATGGACAGCTCTGGGCCCGAGAATCGGCATAGGTCCCACTCGATCCCACTTCCTCCTGCTCGTGACCGTCCAGGTCGAATGATGTAACAGGCTTCTAGGAACCTCTGGGAATTCTACGAGATCGCGCTCCAGGGGTGGCCCGACGGGCCGGGCCGCCTGGCGCTCGGCAGGCGGCCCGAAGGCGGCGAGACCTGGGCCGCCCGAGGCGGGGTCTCCCACATCGGCGGCGATGGCCTGGCCCAGCGCTCGCCGGCTGGCCGCCTGAGCGCG